CCCTCCTCCCCCTCCTCCCCACCCTCCATCTCTTTCCTTTTCTCTGTGTGTTTGTTTTTGAGACAGTTTCTCTGTGCAGCCCTGCCTGTCCTGGAACTCACTTTGTAGACTGGGCTGGCCTTGAACTCAGAGATCCACCCACCTCTGCCTCCCCAGTGCTGGGATTAAGGGTGTGCACCACCACAACTGGCATATGTATTGATTATATTCATACTACATCTGGCCAGTGTCCAGAGATAAAAACATGTGTCCTGTGAGTTCTTATGTTTGAATAGCTACAGTGTGTAAGAACCTTGCTTCTATTAATTGTCTGTATTTGTTTGATCTTATTAATACTCTTATTTCTTCACCTAGTAATCCTGATACTGTGATTACAAATGGCGAAGACACAGTGTCTTCCGAGGAGGAAAAGGAAGAACCAGGCACAGGCACGGGTGTGAATGTGGCGCCTCCGGTGACAGACTCCTCTGCCTCTGCCGGCTGTAGCATGCATGCTCGAAATGCAGAGCTCCCCAATGGCCAAGCCAGTAGTCATTTGAACCGCTCAGTGATTGGTTCACATTCTTATCATAGCAACGGAGAAGATGAAGATGATGATGATGACGATGAAGATGACACTGAGGAAGATGAGGATGAGGATGGTGATGACAGTGACCACACTATTTCAATAGATAATTCTGTACCAACAATATATTTCTTTCATACTGTTGAACCTAAAAGGGTTTGTATTCTTATAACTTAAGAATCATTAAACATCATCTGTACTGTAATTTTAAAGAGAAAAATATTAACAGTAATTAAGATTGTTAATACCACCAAACAGGAAGAGCATCTTTTCTGTTCATCTGACCAGTGCACCTTACTAGGAAAAGACAAGAGTAGTTAGGTGATGGTGTCACACTAAACTCCAGTGAGTCACCTGTCCTTATTTCAGGGCTCTGTTAAGATTAAATTGTGGGCATTTGGTTTGCTTTTTGGATCTGAAAATGGCTATAAGACTATTTATTTATTTATTGCACATCAGGTTTGTTTTTCTGTGGGTCAAAGAAAGTGAGTACTAGTATCCTGAGCAACAAGGAAAAATTTTGGGAGAAATGAAAGACGGTTTTTTCTTTTTCTTTTTTTTTTTGACAAATTAAATATAGACATGTAATAATGGGTTTCAAGTTTTAGCATTTTGGAGCCGGATTGACTATAGAGATCTTGTGATCCATTGTTTTCAAACTTGGCTTTAGTACCGAAAGCCTTTGTTCTTCCATACCTAACTGTAGAAGCCCAGCATTTACATTACAGCTGTGGATGAAGGGTAGGCTGCCACCAGTCCACCCCTGCCCACCTTCCCTCTGCTCTGTGCACTGTGCTGAAGGGTCTGCAGTGTGTGTCATAGAGAATCTGAAGGCCTGTAAGGCAGAACTGGTCAGTAGCAAGCGGCCAACCCACTGGTGGGTCCATAAGGTAGTCTGTTTTATCTGGTTATTGTGTAAGGAGACATCTTAATACTTACTGGATACTTCTTAAGCGTTACTTTTCTCTGCCCTATTAGAAAGTAAAAGGATCATGTGTATTTTCTTTTTTTTTTTTTGTAATTCTAAT